CACATACACACACATTCCTTTTTTAAATTTATTTCTTTAAGCTAATAAATGTGAGGATTCCAACAGGAAGATTGTGGACTTCTTACATAAGCTTCATTTTTAGCCCCTTGTGTATCAGCAGACTCCGGCACACATAGTTGTGTCTATGATTTACACAAGTGTAAGTTTTGTGCCAGAGGACAAATTCTTTGTTTCAGGAGAAAACTTCTGGAACCCAGAAAACTGATTTCCTTCCCAGTTCATCTGGTCATTAATCTTCTTAAAAGCTCAAGACAAATAAAATTCCCGTATCTGAGACCTTTGTGGTATCCCAGAGGCAGGTGAGAATCATTCCCATGGAGTTGTCTTCACTTTCTGATTTGTCATCAGTTCTTAAGAGCAGTCCAGGAAAGGTTTATTTAGACAGCTCTCTCTTGGCTTTATAACCAACTGCTGACTGCTTGGGACATGAGAAACTCTTGATGATTTACAGGTAGTAAATGGGCAAGAAATCCATAAATCACATTCTATAAGAGGGATAGGTGAACACACACGCACACACACACTTATACTTAAACACCTTCAAAGGAAGAGTTGTAGGCATGTCCAGAAAATATATTCCATTTTTATTTTTTTTATTTTTTTTAAAGATTTTATTCCTTTATTTGAGAGAGAGAGAATGAGAGAGAAAGCACATGAGAGGGGGGAGGGTCAGAGGGAGAAGCACACTCCCCGCTGAGCAGGGAGCCCGATGCGGGACTCGATCCAGGGACTCCAGGATCATGACCTGAGCCGAAGGCAGTCGCTTAACCAACTGAGCCACCCAGGCGCCCAGAAAATATATTCCATTTTTAATTTGAGGAGAATCTCATTGGTGAGAGGTCCATAATCAATAACCTCTGTGAATTAAATTGTACCAGGTAGTATTTTAACGTTCAGCAAGAGGCTTAGCCCATCATTTACTTATTTATTTTAAAATTTATTTATTTGAGAGAGAGAGGGCAAACCAGGGGAGGGGCAGAGGGAGAGAGAGAGAGAGAGAATCTCAAGCAGACTCCCTGCTGAGAGTGGAGCCCAACGTGGAGCTCCATCCCAGGACCCCGCGCTCATGAGCTGAGCTCAAATCAAGAGTTGGAGGCTTAACCGACTGAGCCACCCAGGCGCCCCTGCCTATTAATTCTTAGAGGAGACTCTGGTTCCCACTTCTGAAATGTTCAAAGGAGTTTTTATGATTTCTAGAGGAAAGAGCCTTTTTTTCCTACCGAGTCAAAAATGCTAAAGGTCGTCAGAGTTTTCAGATACTCTTGAAACTATTCTGCAACAGATATTTCTCAACTAAACATTCACTTAAAGATCTCCTTTTGTTTTCATGTATATATTTCTTCTAGGCCCGTGTTTAGGAAAATCTCTAATAATGTGCTAAAATCAGAAAAAATAAGGTTCTAATTCCAGGGAACTAGAGTTTCAGAGAACTGACAGAGAAGAAGATACAAAGTGAAAAATCTTGAAGAACATTTTTGCTTGGAAAGTGAAATTTAATAAATATGAATCTGCTACTGTGAATAATTTGCCAACTCTCTGCCTCCCAGAATATAGTATAATATATAACTAGAAATTTAGGATGCATTTAGCAAAAAGCTAATATCATTTGGATCCTGATTCAAGCAAAATGAAGAGGTAACAATAAAACAGAGAAAACTGGGGCAAGTTGAACACGGACTAGATATCTGATGACATTAAGTAAGTATAAAGTTTTTAGACATACTAATGGTGTGATTTTTTTTGAGTCTTTACCTTTTAAAGATACACAGTGAAATATTTTAGGATGACATGATTTGCTTTTTAAAAGTCCAGTTGGGTGATACAAATATCAAATCATTATATGGTACACCTGAAACTAACAAAATGTTGTCTGTCAATTATACCTCCATTTAAAAAAAGAAAAAAAATCTTTAAAAAAGTAAAAAGATGAAAAACCCTGAAAAAAAAATCCAGTTGGGGGATTGTGGGTGGGGCTGTAAAGGAAACAGGATTGGTCATGAGTTGAGGTTGATGAGGGCCACACAGAGTTTGATATACTGCTGTTCTCTCTACTCTTGTATTTGTTTGAAATTTTGCATAATGTAGAAAACACCAGAACAGCTAAGTTGCACTAGAGTGGTCCTGAATTATCTATCTGATAGATAATTTCTTTATTTCACATTTGTTGTTCAACAGGAGCCGGGTGCTGGTTGTGTGGAGGGGTCTGTATGAGGCCGAGTGGTGTGAGTTGAGGTCTGCATACAGCGCCCTGGTGACTTGACAGGGAGGGACACTACTGAGAACCAGGCAGGAAGCTCTCTTTGTTGGTAAGAAGTCTACTCCTCGGTTCCTATGAGGAGCTTCTGTTTGGGGGTGCAACACCAGCCACCCTGGGGAGGGTGCATGGGGCTTCAGCTGGCCCTGCTCCAGGGATCCAACAGTCAACAAGGCCAATGAGGCGCCCCAGAGGTCAGAAGCTGAAAACGGACACCCACAGCCAGCTCTTCACAAACAAGAGGCTTTATTTTTATGCTGTACCCCCACCCTCTGCCAAATAAGTGGGGAGAGCATTGAAAGGGCTGACTTTGCTGTCGAGAGCCACTGAGTGCAAGTGAAGCTTAGACTCGTGCCTGGCGCAGTGGAGCAACGGGAGGAGGACCTCGGTCTCTGGGGAGTGCCCCACCTCAGCAAGACACCTCCCAGAGTTTGAGCACGGTGGCAGCAGGGCGGTACGGTTTACACAGCCTGCAAGGCGCCCCCTGATGCTCCGAGGGGTTGCCAGCCATCTCCCTCCTTCTCTTTGACTGGGTATCAGCTACTGTTCCTTCAGCTCCCAGCAACGTCCTCAGAGGTCAAGAGACACCAGTCGCATGGCGACCCAGTATGAACAGTGCTCCCTGGGGTTATGCAAGTCAAGGGCCTTGACTTCACTTCCTCAAGCAAGCCCCCATGACCCTCCTGACCAGTCCAAATCCCTCTTGAAGCTACAGGACTCCTCATGGATGTCAGAGAGTGGTCAGATCTGTCACACACACACACACACACACACACACACACACACACACACACACAC